AAAAATGAATTTTTAAATTAGATTTAGAAAAAATACAATCGCGCGTAGTTGAAATTCAAATACAAAACTTTTAAATTTGAGATATATGTCTTAATAAATTGAACTATATATATAAATAATAAATTTTTGTTATCGTATAAATTACTTTATATAGGTGTTTTCTGAAAATAAAATAAACTTTATATTGATATCATATAAAGTTTTCATACGAAGAAAAATATCGACTCATTAGCTTTCATAAATGGTACTAAATTACTAATATAGCATCGAAGATTAAAAAAAGAGAGAGAAAAATTTTGATTGAAATAATTATGACAAAGATTGTTATGTTATATCTTTATCAATTTTATTAAAATCGAGTATTAAGATTTTGAATATAAGAGAGTCTCGTTTTGATACCATGCAACTATAATAAAAGTATGAGTAGACTATTTTCGATACTAGAAAATTTATAAATAAGAAATTAATAAATATAAATAAAAATATGCATGTGGAGGTAAAATTCTTAAACAAGGGATATTTTGGACTTTTGCCCTTTTAGCATAGTATAGTTTTGGATGTTGGCCATTATCCTTGGAGGATTTCACTATTTGCAAATGCATATGCATGTGAATGATTAGAATAAATATCATTATTCTAAAATATAAAATACAAAATTAAAGATATTAAATTACCAAATAGATTAAATAATTAAAGTTAAGGTTTATCTAATTAAAAACATATATTTCACCTAACATATATATCATAATTTTCTTTTGGATAGAAGTGGTTGAGGTGGAAATTTGGTTCGATTTCCAGCGTCAATAACTCCGATGGATACCTACACACAAAGAACTATACATTGGTGTGGTGCTAAACTCAACAACTTCGATACATAAATTAGCCAGGAGTTTAGTTGAGAATAGCAAGAATAGAGTTGTAAGAGTGTACCTCGTGTCCCAGATCTCTCCTCTTATTTATGGAGGAGTCTCTTTAGCTTAGTTCAGGTGGACTAACTTGACTGGATCAAAGTTGACTCTGACTCGTTTTGATCAGGTAGTTTGGGTCAGATAATTTGTTGGTATAATTTCATCCATTAACCGAAGTTATCTTAATTTCAAGTAAATTGTACTACATACATAAATAATATTGTTATTATGAGTTAACGTGTAGATATATATTTTTTTCGGTGAATAATTTGATGTTACATAAAGGACAAAATAATCTATTATTAGTTTAAAAATAATAATGCATTCTTAAATATGTTTGTACTCATCCTGTGTATGGTCTTATATTTTTTTACTTCCATGTTTATTTTGTTACGTTTATACATTTGAAAATAAACTACTATAAATGTAATATATTCTTTTTTAATTTTCGATATTTTGTGAAATTGAAAAACATTATAAAAATTATTTATTGTTTTGCTTTAGTATTTTAATTTTGTTTAACAAATGATAATTTTTTTTTTTGAGAAACGAAATATTCAATATTCCATAAAAAATTACTAGTTTTCAATTAGTAATTTCAATATTAAAAAATCTTAACATCTATTAGTAACATAGTTAGGGTTTATTATTCTTTTAAATATTTTTAACAAAAAATCATATCATGGATTAAAATAATTTTTTTTATGTAAACTTTACACGCTAGAACAAATTGCTTAAACCATAATAAATTTTTTTGTTGTGATATCTAAATGATACTTTATAGACATCGTACGATCATCTTTTTTAATAGTATTGTCAGTAAAATAAAAATAAATAAATAAAAATGACGTGATTACACGTAGAATGCCACATATAAATACATAATTCTCTCTCTTAAATGCCAGCATGGCATGATCATCTATTCCAAACAACACAAAGTTTCTCTCTCCCTCTTTCTCTCTCTAAAATAGCTGAACATTCCATAAAACAGTGATGTATGGTTGTGTTTTTAAGAGTAGTGCATGTGCATACATGTGTTTTCAAAGTCACTTACATGTCCTTCTTGTTGCTTCTGTGAGAGAGATGAAAATATTACCATCCAAGTCTTAATTGGTATATACCTCCAACAAGAGAGGTGATTTCGATCTCCCACTCCCATATGTTGTACTAAAAAAACATTTTAAGTTAAAATTTATTAATCTCAATATTATAACTATACAAGTGGTATTTTGTTAATAATTTTGTCCAATACTATGGAAATGTCGATTTACCATTAATAATCATGTGAAAATTGATATGTTGATGAAAATTTATTCAAGATCGATTTTTTTTATTAGACAAAAATGTCTTCAAATAAAGGAAATGAATTGCATGAGTTTGAAATATTATATAGAAGAATGAAAGAATGGAATATTATTATCTATCTGGTCTGGATTCCAATTGTCTCAACATTTATGGAAGGCCACTTTGCAAGAGAAGATTATTATTATTATTAATTTTTTTTCTTAATTACATAATTTATTTTATAAACTAATAGTTAAGATTTAAAAGTTGGAACCCTGTTTTAGTAGTGGCAAACCATTACATGCCAAGATGAGGCTTTTTTCCTTCTATGTATGTGTACTTTTTTGGGATGTTAGAAATAGATTTCAAAGTTGGTCTCAATTTGATTAAGATTTCAAAAGTGAGTTTTGAAAGGAGAAAAAAAAAACTAAATAAATAAAAGTATTGGTATAAGTTTAGTATTTGAAAGGTGAAAACAAAATAAAATTGTTATCAAACAAAACCTATTCACATTTATGCTAATTTTATTGTTATGTTTTTGAATTAAATTTTCAAGTTTCTAGCTTGTTGTTGTACTTTAATTTATTAATCTTAGAGGTCGTTTGTTTTCAAGAATCTTAAATGTCTGCCATGTTAGATACTTTAAGTTTTAGAGGCTTAGAAATGCAGATATCACGACATGTTTTTTGATAGTTATGTTTGTTTTATAAAAATATTTGTTCAATAGGGAGCCAAATCAAGCACTGGGTCAAAAATACTAGGCCCATTAACTTGCCATCATTATAAATACATGTTTTTTCTAGGTTGTGCCGTGGGAAGAGAAACACAAAGAAAGTGTGGGTGATGGCACTTTGTGGAGAAATGGGTGGTGACAGTAGGTTTTGCAGAGAAGAAAATAGCAAATTA